AAAAGCAAATAGGAAAAATCTTAATTTACATAACAGCATGCTCTTTGACATCCTAGCCATACATCAAATTTATTCCAAGTGTTCAATAGAATGGAATGGAAAAAGGCTCCTATACGCACCACCACAAAAAAGGATCTTTCTCAGTAAAAAGGGTGAAATAGGGATTTCCCTGGTGGTGCAGCTGGTGCAGCAGTTAAGAATCCGCCTGCCAAAGCAGGGAGCACAGGTTCGAGCCCTGGTCTGGAAAGATCCCATATGCCGCAGAGCAACTAAGCCCGTGCGCCACAACTACTGAGCCTGCGCTCTAGAGCCCGCGAGCCACAACTACTGAAGCCCACGTGCCTAGAGCCCATGCTCTGCAACAAAGAGAAGCCACTGCGACGAGAAGCCTGCGCACCTCAATGAAGAGTAGCCCCCACTCGCCACAACTAGAGAAAGCCCACGTGCAGCAACAAAGACCCAACGCAGCCAAAAATAAATAAATAAATATTTCTAAAAAGGGTGAAACATATATAATGGATTATGAATATCCAGGAACTGCCACACAATACTACTAGGAAAATTCCAACAAATACCAAACTGCCATTTTTCAATGTCCCATTAACAGAGAATGAATAGAATATTATAAAAATTTAAGCCTAATTGCATATTAGAAATACACGTAAATTCACCCATGGATCCAACAGGCTTCAAATGTAAAGAGAAAAAAATCATTGTCTGATTAAAGGAAAAATAAGTACCTCTGAACCTTATGTATTATTGTTGAAAGACAACTTATGGAATTAACTCACATTAATATTCATTTCTGAAATTAGTATAAATCCATCGTTCAAGGATACACATGAAGAAATACCCTTAGTAAAAACAAAATATAAACTTTTAAAACAACTCTTTCATATTGAAGGTTTTCTGGAACATTAGGCACGGAGTACTTTCTATCTACTTATCTCATGTTACTACTATTTATACTTCTTTTCCATGGGAGTTTTCACATGTAATGATATGGGTCAAAGTGTTTCTCAGGGTTTTTTTTAATTAACATATTTATTGAGGTATAATTGCTTTACATTTTGTGTTAGTTGCTGCTATATAACAATGTGAATCAGCTATACATATACATATATCTCCATATCCCCTCCCTCTTGCGTCTCCCTCCCACCCTTTGTATCCCACGCCTCTACGTGGTCACAGAGCACCAAGCTGACCTCCCTGTACTATGCGGCTGCTTCCCACTAGCTATTTATTTTATATTTGGTAGTGTATATATGTCAATGTCACTCTCTCACTTCGTCTCAGCTTACCCTTCCCCCTCCCCGTGTCCTCAAGTCCATTCTCTCTGTCTGGTCAGGGAACTATGAGATGTGGCAACTACGAGTTCGCATACTGCAACCAAAGATCCAGCATGCCTCAATGAAGATCGAAGATCCTGCATGCCACAACTAAGACCCAGCACAGCAAAATAAATAAATAAATATTGGGTTGGCCAAAAAGTTCCTTTGGTTTTTAAGTAAAAATGAAAGACACATTTTTCATTTTCACCAAAAACTTTATTGAACAGCATATTCACCATTTTGTTCCATTACCTTCTGCCATTTTTCTGGCAACTTCATAATTCCATCTTTCCAAAACTTTTTTATCTTTTTGAGTAAAGAACTGTTCAAGGTGCCTTTTACAGTCTTCCAGGGAATTGAAATTTTTTCCGGTAAGAGAATTTTGTAAAGACCAAAATAAATGGAAATCCGAAGGTGCAATGTCTGGTGAATACGGCAGATGAATCAGAACTTCCCAGCCAAGCTGTAACAGTTTTTGCCTGGTCATCAAAGAAATATGTGGTCTTGCGTCATCCTGATGGAAGATTACGCATTTTCTGTTGACTAATTCCGGATGCTTTATGTTGAGTGCTGCTTTCAGTTGGTCTAACTGTGAGCAGTACTTGTTGGAATTGATCGTTTGGTTTTCCAGAAGGAGCTCATAATAGAGGACTCCCTTCCAATCCCCCCATATACACAACATCACCTTTTTTGGATGAAGACCAGCCTTTGGTGTAGTTTGTGGTGGCTTGTTTCACTTGCCCCACGATTTTTTCTGTTCCACATTATTGTACAGTATCCACTTTTCATCACCCGTCCCAATTTGTTTTAAAAACGGAACGTTTTCATTACATTTCAGTAGAGAATTGCACGCAGAAGTACCATCAAGAAGTTGTTTTTTGCTTAACTTATGTGGAACTCAAACATCAAAGCGATTGACATAACCAAGCTGGTGCAAATGATTTTCAGCACTTGATTTGGATATTTTGAGTATGTAGGCTATCTCCCACGTGGTATAATGTCGATTGCTCTCAATTAATGTCTCCATTTGATCACTATCAACTTCAACTGGTCTACCCCAATGTGGAGCATCGTCCAGCAAGAAATCTCTAGCATGAAACTTGGTAAATGAATTTTGACACGTTTGGTCAGTCACAGCACCTTCTCCATAAACTGCACAATTTTGTTTTGCTTTTCAGTTGCGTTTTTGCCTTTCTTGAAATAATAAAGTATGCCAAAAATGTTACTTTTTTCCTTACATCACCAATATTAAAATGGCTACACAAAAATTCACCAATTTTGATTTTTTTTAAATGCTTACTGATATGAGAACTGCCACAATACAATCTAACAAAATTGTTTCAAATGAAGTTAAAGACAACTTAGTGCTACTAGACCAATTTTTAATTACAAAAATTTTTTTTTTAATTTATTTATTTTTGGCTGCATTAGGTGTTTGTTGCTGCATGCAGGCTTTCTCTAGTTGCAGCCAGCAGGGGTTACTCTTCGTTGTGGTGCGTGGTCTTCTCATTGCAGTGGCTTCTTTTGTTGCAGAGCACAAGCTCTAGGCATGTGGGCTCAGTAGTTGTGGCTTGCAGGCTCTAGAGCACAAGCTCAGTAGTTGTGGTACATGGACTTAGTTGCTCCACGGCATGTGGGATCTTCCCAGACCAGGGATTGAACCCCTGTCCCCTGCATTGGCAGGCAGATTCTTACCCACTGTGCCACCAGGGAAGCTCTGCTAGACCATCTTACAGAAAAAAACGAACAAACCTTTGGCCAACGTAATATTTTTTAAAAACTTACATTGCATAATGATTAAATGAAGAAAGCTACAAGGTTTTTCTGAATATTCATACATAAAAAGGATACTTTAATATATTCTTTGAGGAAATGAAAAGTAACATTTGTTAGCTAATGAAAGCTTCAAAAAGAGTTGGTAAAATATTTGAAAAGACTACAAAAACTACTGTTTCACAAAAAATTCAAACAGTTTCAATCATGTAAAATAAAAGACAATAAAAAACATGTTGGGGGATTATATTCAGCTACAAGTAACAGGAAACACCCATAGCCATCTTGACAGAAGGAGGTGCTTATTCTCACATGGAAACAATGGGTGACCAATGCCCCTGTGCAATGCAGTAGAGAAACAAACTCCCATGTCATTCGTTTTGGTGGCACCTTTGTGAATGTTGTGGTGAGTCAGGAACACATACTAGTATTACTAGTATTATTAACAACATAAAGTGTTTCCTACACATATTAGACACTATAAAGCTATAATCCAGAGAGGAGTGTAATCAGAGACTATTACCAACCATAAAATACTGAAGTAACTTTCAAAGTGGACACAAGAGGCCTTACAGAAAAAATTCAAACTCTGATGGATCTTTGATGTGTAAGCTGTGAAGATACCAGGGGAGCCTACATGTCTATAAAAATGGAAATCAAGCATTTTTTGATGGTGTTGAGGACACTCTTGACTACAAGGACACAGAATCTGGAAAATAAGCTGGGAGATGGTGTCTTGAAGCTCCTACATATCTGCCTCTCTCCCAGTGTGGGGAATCCACTATCTGAAGAATGTCTTCTCCGCATCTGCTTTAAAATCGCACACAGGTGAGCTGTTGGTGAATGCTAACATGGAACCACAAAAGGGATAGATTCTGGAAAGTCTAGGTCCTAATATGACTCATAGGCAAGATATCTCCAACTCCAGATTTTCTGTATTATCACAAGTCTCACAGTCTATTCAACAAATACCAGTCAGAAGGAAACACAAAAAGCAAATAGGAAAAATCATAATTTACATAACAGTATACTCTTTGACATATTAGTCATACATAAAATTTATTCCAAGTGTTTAATAGAATGGAAAATGGGAAAAGGCTCCTATACACACCACCACCAAAAAGGATCTTTCTCAGTAAAAAGGATACAATATATATAATATATTATATACCTAGGAACTGCCACACAAAACGACTAGGAAATCCCAACAAATACCTAACTGCCATTTTTCAATGGCCCGTTAACAGAGGATGAATAGAACATTATAAAAATTTAAGTCTCACTGCATACTAGAAATACACTTAAATTCATCCATGAATCCAACAGGCTTCAGAAGTAAATAGAACAAAGTAACTATCCAAGTAAAGGAAAAATCACTACGTTTAAACGTTATGTACTATTGTTGAAAGACGAATTACAGAATGAATTCACATTAATATTCGTTTGTGAAATTAGTAGAAATCCACCATTGAAGGATACACTTGAAGAAAGATCCTGAGTAAACACAACATATTTATAAATTTTTGTTTGTTTGTTTGGCTGCATTGGGTCTTTGCTGCTGTACATGCGCTTTCTCTAGTTGTGGTGAGCGGGGGCTGCTTTTCGTTGCAGTGCACGGGCTTCTCATTGTGGCGGCTTCCCTTGTTGTGGAGAATGGGCTCTAGGCACATAGGCTTCAGTAGTTGTGGCACGTGGGCTTAGTTGCTCTGTGGCATGTGGGATCTTCCAGGACTAGGGCTCGAACCCATGTACCCTGTATTGGTAGGCAGATTCTTAACCACTGCACCACCAGGAAAGTCCTATAAACTTTTAAAACAACTCTTTCTGGACTTCACTGGCAGTCCAGTGGTTAAGACTCTGCACTTCCATTGCACGGGGCACAGGTTTGATCCCTGATTGGGGAACTAAGATGCCCCACATGCTGCACAGCCTGGCCAAAAAAAAATAATAATAAATAAAATTTTTAAAAACTCTTTCATATTGAAGGTTTTTTGGAACATTAGGCATAGATTACTTTCCATCAAGTTATCTCATGTTACTTACATTTATACTTCTTTTCCATGGGAGTTTTTACATGTAATGATATCGACCAACAACCCAGGCTGTTTACAAATAAGGTTTTATCTAGTAAACCCTTTTATGGTTTCATAAACTACAAAGATCAGAAAAGCTATTCCCACATTCGTCATATTTTATATGATTTCTGTCCAGTGTGCAGTCTCAGGTCTTTGAACGACTGAGAGGCAAATGAAGGATTTTCCACATTCCTGTCATTGATAGGGTTTCTGTCCAGTGTGAATTCTTTCATGCACTTGAACATATGCAGAAGTGAAGGTTTTCCCTTCATTTTTACATTCATAGGGTTTTTCTCAAGTATGGGTCCTTCGATGTATTTTCAAAACTGCTAGATATCTATAACTTTTACCACATTGTTCACATTGATATGGTTTCTCTCCAGTGTGACTCCTTTCATGTGTTTTAAGAGAACTGGGATTAATGAATACTCTCTCACATTCTTTACATTTATAAGGTCCATCCCCAGTGTGTGTTATCATATGTTTCTGAAGGGTTATTTTCCATGTGAAGGCTTTCCCACATTCCTTACATTCATAAGGTTTTTCTCCAGTGTGGATTCTTTCATGATTTCGAAGAGACCGGGCAGTATTCAATACTTTAGAACATGTTTTACACACATATGGTGTCTCTCCTGTGTGATGTCTTTTGTGTAGCTGTAAGGAACTGAAATGATTGAAGGCTTTACCACACTGCTTACATTCATAGAGTTTCTCTCCCCTGTGAATTCTTTCATGGATTTGAATAGTTTCAGGACTTTTAAAGGCTTTTCCACATTGTTTACATTGATAGGGTTTCTCTCCATTGTGACTGCTTTCATGCATTCGAAGACAACTGGGATAAATGAATGCTTTCTCACATTTCTGACATTTATAAGGTAAATCCCCAGCGTGAGTTACCATGTGTTTTCGAAAAGTTGTTTCCCACATGAAGGCTTTCCCACATTCCTTACATTCATAGGGTTTCTCTCCTGTGTGAGTTCTTTTGTGTAGTCGGAAGGATTTTTTATATCGAAAGACTTTTCCACATTGTTCACATTCATAGGGCTTCTCTCCAGTGTGACTCCTTTCATGTGTTCTAAGAGAACTAGGAGAAATGAATGCTTTCCCACATTCTTTACATTTATATACCTTCTCATGGTACTTTTGATACTCTCTTCGTTTGTTTTCAATGTGACATTTCATGTGTCTATTAAAGGATGAATGATGCATGAAGACCTTTGCACATGCACTGCATTCCCATGGTTTTAAACCAGGAGTTTTCTTCTTCAGATTGAGAGTTGGAATAAGGGTGAAGTTTTCTCCACAGAAACTACTGCCTTTACTTTCAGAGAGTCTCTCTACCATAGAACTTCTGTAAACAATGAGAAGATTATTAATGATTTCTTTATTAAGAAATCATTTATTTATTGTATTTATTATGATTTATAGGTTTTCTATCTTGTGTGAATTGTTAGAAGTTGAATAAACTGAATGCTCTGCAACAGGACTTCACCTCTTCTATTAAAAAGTGATATTCAACTATAGGGTTTATTGACTGCACGTGAACTATATTGGAAACACAGAACATTTATATCACATTTAAGAAAATACTTTTTCGGAGACATTTTCTGAGAATTTTCTGAGAATAGAATAACTAAATTTGAAGACTGGGCTATTTGTTTTTGTTGACTTCTTTAAAATTTTCAGAATATACCATGATTCTCACAAGATAATGCTTTGAATTGCGGGTGTGACTCACCTTAATTTTCTCCCCTGGTTTTTGTACTGATATTCAATGTCATGATCTTCCTGTTTTGTTTCTGAAATGCAGAACCAGAAAAATGATCCCAAAGTACTAGAAATGACAGAAAAATTATTGGACTTTAGGCCCATGATGAGCTCTGACTATGTCTAGTTTCCTTTCTTTCTTCTTCTCTTTATTTTGGGGGGGCGGGTGCTGTGCAGTATGGCCTACAGGATCTTAGTTTCCTGACTAGAGACTGAACTGAGGCCACAGCAGTGGTGAAAGTGCCGAGTCCTAACCACTGCACCGCTGGGGATTTCCCTTTGATCCCCACCTCCCCTAGTTTCTTTACCAAAGTTTTCCCTTTCCACATTCCACAACTTTGAACAATATTGACAAGTAAGAAACACTTGTTCTCTAATTGACAAAGGGAGGGAATTTTTCATTCTTACCTACTGAGACCAGGTTCTGGAAGTTTTCCTGCATCACATCTCTGTAGAGTTTCCTCTGTGAGGAATCCAGTAAAACCCACTCCTCCAGGGTGAAATTCACAGCCACATCCTCAAAGGCCAATGAGTCCTAAAACACCCAAAATAGGAGCACACTGAGATGCATGAGACTGACAGAACTAGACACCCACACTTGATTTATAGGAAGGTTACATACAATTCTGTTGTTTACAAAGAGTTATTCTATGACTTGATCATGATAAACTTATTCTCCATACTTCCTCAATAATTTAACAGCATCATGAACAAATGGAAATTATTTACACATAACTTCTGTGGTCACAGTATCGCTTATATCACAATAATGGCAGAGCCCAGAGAATGAGAAATACTTTACAAATGAAAGAAACGTCATTTTAAGAACAACGATTTCTGCTGAAAAAATTCTTTCATCTTCTTCTTATGATCCACAAGTTACAGTACTCCATGAGGCAGAGGATCAAGATTGCATGAGGTTTTAATAAATAGACATACAGTGAAGAACTGGAAGCTTTTTTCTAAACCTATCACCTATCATCAGAGGCCAGGTGACCTGTAGAAATCAAACTTTTAACAAAGCCCAGCTGGCCACACTGTCCCAAAGTCCTCCAGGCCTTTAGAAGAAATCACAATCACACACAATTGCCTGAATATAAATATTCTTCTGCAGATGCACTGCTTTTAAGTTGTATAATGATTAGCATAGACTCTGTTTTTCCTTCCTCTCTACATATAATTTGATACAGGTAGAAAGTTACTTCAAATTTAGAGCTCGGACATGTGGAAGAAGCATTAATATGTTAGATCACAAAATCCCTATACTCAGGTGCCTCAAGGCGCTTCCAGCCAAATTCTAGAACACACAGTGCAATTACATGCCCCAAAAACTCTTTCTCTTCACACCATAACAGTATACTCTGGGTCTTACTGCCCTCAAGGAACATGTTAAGAGCTACAGTTTACAAGGGAGCTCACCAAAGTCCATAACACTTTGATGGTGAATTTTCCCATGATTATAAATTATGTAAGGGTTTCATCATTGGCTTCCTCCAAAAGAACATAAAGTCTCCATCCTGCTATTTCAGGAACAGGAGTTTTCCAAGCAGCCAGTATTGCAACTGCTAAGTGAAAATCTAGTCTGGGATTTATGAAATTAGAAGTTGTGATTCTCCATCTCACAAGAAGAGAATGAAAAAGCTTGAAATAAACAAGTCCTCCCAGAGCCATGAGAGCACTGACTTCAAAGGGTAAACTGGTGCCCTAAAACTGGGAAAGAGAAAAGAAAGACTTTTTTTTTTTTTTTTTTTTGCAGTACGCGGGCCTCTCACTGTTGTGGCCTCTCCCGTTGCAGAGCACAGGCTCCGGACGCACAGGCTCAGCATCCATGGCTCACGGGCCCAGCCGCTCCGCAGCATGAGGGATCCTCCCGGACCAGGGCACAAACCCGCGTCCCCTGCATCGGCAGGCAGACTCTCAACCACTGTGCCACCAGGGAAGCCCAGAAAGACATTTTTTAAATATGCCCCAAAGATTCTGTTCTTAAGGCCAGTACTCAAAAAAACTGTTTCATGTAGTCTAACACAAAGACAAAAAGGATCAAAAAAGATAGAACACAGTATCCATGAACTCTGGCATGACCTTCTTTAACAGAAGATTTAAGATACATATAATGAAAATAATTGAAGGAAAAGAGAGACAGAAATAAGTAACGACCACTGAGATGTTCCTAATATTAATGATAGACAACACCCATAGATCCATGAGGCTCAGTGAACAATAAAAATGAAAACACCTAAAATGGAGACCAAAGTATATTATATTTAAAGTAGAGAGAAAAACAAAGGCAAAGAGAATATATATTGTAAGAAGCCAGAGGTATACTTTAGGTACAGAGAAATAAAGATTAGAATCAAACTGGACTTCTTTTCAGGAAAAAAAAAACAATAATAATAATTATATGTATATATGAAAGAACTAAGTGGATTGAAATATTTAAAGTTTTGAAATTAAAAAAAAAAAACAGTGTCCTAGAATTCTGTTAGGAAGCACAATTATCCTTAAAAAATAGAAGGCCATTTTGAGACAAAAATTGATGGAACTTGTCATTAGTATGCCAACTTTGAAAGACATTAAAATTCATCAGAAAGAACGTAAATTATTTGGGGGAATTAAAAGAGGAATAAATAAAGGTAAACATCTTTTATATTTCTTTTATAATAGATGATACTTTGTCTAAAATCATATTAGCAAGAACGACATTGATAATGATAACCTTGTGGATAAGTGAAATAAATGACAGCCATATCAATAGGGACAGAGGAGGGGAAATGGGAATAGTGTGGTATGAGGTACCTGAACAACCACTGAAGAGGTACTGCGTTAAGTTGCAGACTGATGTGGGTTAGTTTTAAATGTATACTGAAAACTCAAGGGCAACCACTAAAAAAGTTCTTTACAAAGGTGTAGGTTAAGAATGGAAAAAAGGAAGAATCAGACAAAATGCTCAGTTAAATCCAGAGAAGGTAGAAAAAAGAGAAAAGACAAATGAAAAAATAAGGGCAACAAATAGAAAGAGTAAAAAGTGTTAGATATTAATCCAACCATATTAGTCACCATTTCAATCAACAATGGTCTCAATACAAATGAAAGAAAATTACAGTAATATCAGATTTACTTATTCACTTTTATTGAAGTATAGATGATTTACAAAGTTGTGTTAGGTTCTGGTGTACAGAAAAGTGATTCAGATATATATATATATATATATATATATATATATATATATATTCATATATATACATATTCTTTTTCATATTCTTTTCCATTAAGGTTTTCTACAGGATTTTACAGTACCTTGTGCTATACAATAGGACCTTGTTGTTTATCTATTTTATATATAATAGCTTGTTTCTGCTAATTCCAAACTCCTAATTTATCTCCCCCCACCCCCTTTCCCCTTTGGTAACCATAACTTTCATTTTGATGTCTGTCTGTTTTTGTTTTGAAAATAAGTTCATTTGTGACATATTTTAGATATCACATATAAGTGATATCATATGGTATTTCTCTTTCTCCATCTGACTTACTTCATGTAGTATGATAATCTGTACATCTATCCATGTTGCTGCAAATGGCATTATTTCACCTTTAATGGCTGAGTAGTATTCCACTGAATATATATACTACATCTTTATCCATTCATCTGCCAATGGACATGTAGGTTGTTTCCATGTCTTGGTTGCTGTAAATAGTGCTGCTATGAACATTTGGGTGCCTGTATCATTTCGAATTAGAGTTTTCTCTGGATATATACCCAGGACTGGGATTTCTGGATGATATGGCAACTCTAGTGTTTTGGGGAACCTCCATACTGTTTTCCAAAGTAGATGCACCAATCTACATTGCTTCCAACAGTACAAAAGGGCTCCGTTTTCTCCACACCCTCTCTAGCATTTGTTATTTGCAGACTTTTAATGATGGCCATTCTGACCAATGTGAGGTGGGCACCTCACTGCAGTTTTGATTTGCATTTCTCTAACAATTAGCAATGCTGAACAACTTTTCATGTGCCTATTGTCCATATGTATGTCTTCTTTGGAGATATGTCTATTTAGGTCTTCTGCCCATTTTTTATTGGGTTGTCTGGTTTTTGTTATTGGATAGTATGTGCTATTTGTATATTTTAGAAATTAAGCCCCTGTTGGTGGCATCATTGACAAATATTTTCTCCTAGTACGTAGGTTGTGTTTTCATTTTGTTTATAGTTTCCTTTGCTGTACAAAAGCTTATACATTGTTTGGGACCCATTTGTTTATTTTTACTTTTATTTCTATTGTCTTGAGAAACCAACCTGAGAAAACATTGGTATAATTTATATCAGAGAATGTTCTGTCTATGTTCTCTTCTATGAATTTTATGATGTCATGTCTTACATTTAAGTCTTTAAGCCATTTTGAGTATATTTTTGTATATGGTGTGAGGGTGTGTTCTAACTTCATTGATTTACATGAGGCAGTCCAACTTTCCCAACACCACTTGCTGAAGAGACCATCTTTTCCCCATTGTATATTCTTGTCTCTTTTGTCAAAGATTAATTGACCATTGGTGTGTGGGTCTATTTCTGGCCTCTCTATTCTGTTCCATTGAGTCTATATTTCTGGTTTTGTGGCAGTATCACACTGTTTTGACAACTTTAACTTTGTATTATTGTCTGAAATCTGGGAGGGTTATGCCTTTAGCTTTTTTCTTTTTTCCTCAGAACTGCTTTGGCAATTCTGGGTCTTTTACAGTTCCATATATCTTTTAGGATTATTTGTTCTAGTTCTGTGAAAAATGTTATGAGTAATTTGATAGGGATCACATTAAATCTGTAGATTACTTTGGGTACTATGGCCATTTTAACAAAAATAATTCCTCCAATCCAAGAGTATGGGTTAGCTTTCCATTTTTTTTTAAATAAACTTATTTATTTATTTTTGGCTGTATTGGGTCTTCATTGCTGCACGCGAGCTTTCTTTAGTTGTGTCGAGCGGGGGCTACTCTTTCTTGTGGTGTGCAGGCTTCTCAGTGCGGTTGCTTCTCTTGTTGTGGAGCACGGGCTCTAGGCGCGCAGGCTCTAGAGTGCAGGCTCAGTAGTTGTGGCACATGGACTAAGCTGCTCCACGGCATGTGGGATCTTCCCGGACCAGGGCTCGAACCCATGTCTCCTGCATCGGCTGGTGGATTCTTAACCATTGTGCCACCAGGGAAGCCCAGCTTTCCATTTTTTGATTCAGTTCAATTTCCTTTATCAATGTTTTATGGTGCTCAACATATCTCTTTCACCTCCTTGGTCAGGTTTGTTCCAAAGTATTTTATTTTTTTCGGTGCATACTGTTTTTTTTTACTTTCCCTTTCTGATATCGTAATATGTGATTTTTAAAATTACAATTATATGTAGTCTACCAAAAACTCATTTTAAATATGAAGGCACTGGTAGATGAGAAATAAAGCAATGGAGATAAATACACCATGCCAAAACTAACCAAAAGAATGCTGGCACTCGTATATGAACTTTAGAGAATGCAGATTTCAGACCAAGGAAATCTCAGGGGTAGAAAGGACTTTACATAATGACAAAAAGGTCCATTCTGCAAGAAGGCATAACAATCCTTCATGTGTACATACATAGCAACAAAGCGGCAAAATACATAAGGCAAGACGTGAAGAATGCAGGGAGGAATACATAAATCCATTATTATAGTCATACATCAACACCCCCTTATCATAAGCTGTATATACAGCAGGCAGAAAATCAGGAAGGACAGACTTGCTTTGAAGAATACTATGAAATAACTAAATGTAATTGTAATCTAAAGAACACTTCATGCAACAAGAGCTGAATACACATTCTTCTAAAATTCATATGAAACATTCAACCAGACCGAACACTTTCTGGGACATAAAGCATACCTTAACAAATCTGAAAGAAGAAAAATCATACAAACCATGCTCCTAGAACTCAAAGGCATTCATCTAGCAATCAATACAAGCAAGAGATTTGGAAAAACCCTTAACACACAGAGGTTCAACAACATATTTCTAAGTAATACATGGGATCAAAGAAGAAGTCTCAAGAGAAATTAAGATTTGTTTTGAGCTAAATTGTGGCATGTAGCAAAAGAAGTGCCTACAGAGAAATTTATGTCATCATCAACTGGGAAAAAACAAAGGTCTGTAAACAACAACACAAGCATCTACCTTAAGAAACAATAAAGAGGGCTTCCCTGGTGGCGCAGTGGTTGAGAGTCCGCCTGCCGATGCAGGGGACATGGGTTCGTGCCCCGGTCTGGGAAGATCCCACATGCCGTGGAGTGGCTGGGCCCGTGAGCCATGGCCACTGAGCCTGCGCGTCCAGAGCCTGTGCTCCACAATGGGAGAGGCCACAACAGTGAGAGGCCCGCGTACCACAAAAAAAAGAAACAATAAAGAGAAGACGATATAATCACAAAATAAAGTTATAAAAATCAGAAAGGAAATTAATGTAATTGTGGGTAATTGAAGGAGAAAAAAACTTTTAAGCTAGTTCTTTGACAAGATTAATAACACTGATAAACATCTAATCAATATGCCTATAAGGGAAGACAGAGGGTAAAAGGAAATATCAGAAAAGAACAAAGGGGGAAATGAAAATTTCAAAGGATTTGGTAAAATACAGCATCCATTTTTAATCACAATCAATCAATAGAGGGAACTTCTACTTCCTGAAAAAGAACATATTCATGTATCCTGTAGGTAAATTCAAATATTTGGTCTCTAGGACATAATTATCTCTGTGAAACATCTTAAAGATTCTCCAACAACAGATAACTCTTGGAATTAAGAGGGCATATCCTGGGCTTCCCTGGTGGCGCAGTGGTTAAGAAGGTACCTGCCAATGCAGGGGACATGGGTTTGAGCCCAGGTCTGGGAAGATCCCACATGTCCTGGAGCAGCTAAGCCCATGTGCCACAACTACTGAGCCTGCGCTCTAGAGCCTGTGAGCCACAACTACTGAGCCAACATGCCACAACTACTGAAACCTGCACGTCTAGAGCCCGTGCTCCACAACAAGAGAAGTCACCGCAATGAGAAGACCACTCACCGCAACGAAGAGTAGCCCCCGTTCGCCACAACTAGGGAGAAGCCCACGCGCAGCAACGAAAACCCAAAGCAGCCAAATAAATAAATAACATAAATAAATTTATTTAAAAAATAGGAGACATATCTCAAGATTGAAAGATAATCAACTGTTTTCCTGTAGACCCACACTGAACTTGGACAAAGGAAAGGCAATTCAAATGAAAGGAAAATCTTTTAAACAAATAGTGCTGTAAATAATGGATATTCACAAAGAAACACACACACAAACAAAGCAAATGTAAACATAGGACTTACACGTTTTACAAAAAAAGCCTCAAAACACATCACAGATCTAAATGTAAAATGCAAAAGTAATAAACTCCTCGAAAATATCATGGAAGGAAATCTAGGTCACTTTGGGTTTGGTGATGAATTTTCAAATATAACAACAAACACAAGGTCTGTAAAAGAAAAAAAGGATAATTTCACTTCATTAAAATAAAAAACGTCTCCTCTCAGAAAGGCAGTGTTAAGGGAATGAAAAGCCAAGTCACAGGATATGAAAAAATATTAATATTTGCAAAACACTTATGTGATAAATAACTGGTATTCAAAATATCCAGGAACTATTAAAACTCAACAGTAAGAAGATAAATAATCCAATTGAAAATGGGCAAAAGATCTGAACAAACAGCTCCCAAAAAAAGATATATAGAAGGGAAACAGGAAATATGAAAACATGCTCAATGTCAAATGTCAGTGGGAAATTGCAAATAAAACGAGCTATCACTACACACCTATTTAATAACTAAAATGCAAAACACGAAATAGATGTGAAGGTAATTCTCATTCATTGCTGGGGGGAATGGAACTTGGTACCCCTACAAAGGAAGACAGGAGCTCTCTTTCAAAACAAAATATACTTAGTATGTATATTAAGACCCAGCAATCACACTCCTTGTTATTTGTCCAAATGAGATCAACTCTTATATTCACACAAAACTCATACACAAATACCTGTAGGGGCTTTATTCATAACTGGCATGAGTCAACAGGTAAGCAAGATATCTTGCAAGAGTCAAATAATCAGTGGTATATCCATATGATGAAACAGTGTTCACTAATAAAAAGGAATAAAGTATCAAGCTATGAAAACACGTGAAGCAAAGCTCAAAAGTATATTGCTACCGGAAAGAAGCCAATCTGGCAGAGCTATATACTATATGATTCCAAGTATAGGAGGGCCTTCAAGTACTTCCCCTCGCAGGCTCAAACGGGGCCTTGGCCTGAAGACATTGACCTCAGGCTCTGCTCCCAACTACAGGTGCTCTCCACCACCACTGATACTTTAAATACACAAACCCTGTTTGAACAATTCAGCAAAATCACTCAAATCCAGTGTTTATGTGGAAATGAGAGAAGAAAATTATAAGCCACTTCTACTAGTTCACCAGGAAACCCCAAATATCTATTCCTTTTCAGAAAAAAATGTCAGTCAATTACTTCCAAGGCAATTTCATTTACTACATAATTAATCACGCTTGAATACTTCTCCTCTACAAGTCTAAATCTTGGAACTTTATTTGAAATCCACCAAAAGTAAAGGAGAGGCCACAAAAATTTAACCACACTTCCTCAGGGATTGAATAAAAGCAAAAAATTCTTAACAAATGGAATGTAATACTGGAATTTTTTTCCCCCTGAAATTCACCTCTCTTACCTCTTTGGAAATATTTTATATGGACTTTGAAGCTCTATTTTACACTATTGAAGAAAGAAACTTAAATAAGTGAGTAAATCTTTTGAAGGGGACTAACCTAGGGATGGGCAGGGTAGATCGTCCATAAAAGTTCAAAAAAAACCTCCACGAAAGGACTTCCTATAGGATATCTCTTTCCAGTAAAAAATCAGAAGAAAGGACTTCATACAACCCACTACCAAGTGGTCATTGTCGGCTTCTGCTCTTGTAAAATATCCACAGACCACCCCCCGCCCCAAAATAATACCATCCACCTCACTACGGAAATAGCATAAACAATTAAAATATTTGTTTGAATTGCACTGCGGAGACGAATAGATGATAGGTAATTTGAATCGGAGAGGTGAAACTGACTTTGGGAATGAGGGAAGCGATCTGGAAATTTAATGATTTATCGCCAGCCCTACAAAGAGCTCCTCTGGGGGGCTAAGGTTTTTGAAATTCTGCTTCCCAAACATTTGGAAAACTCAGAGAAAAAATGAAACCGTGTAAGTCAGATGGGACTTGAACCCACGTGCCGGGACTCGAACCCTGCCTAAACCCAGATTGGGACTTGAACCTATGGTCTTTTAATTAGAATCACTCACCTGGTGTTGGACTTACTGAGGCTCGGGTTCTTTGTGTCACAGTGCAGAAGGAATTCAGCAAGAGGCAAAGAGATAGGCAAGATGTAGATTTATTAATACAGGACGCTTGCAAGAGACGCAAGCAGGCAGGGGGGCTCTGCCCTGAGGATTAAGTGGGCTATATTTTTATAGTCAAAGGAAAGTGGGGAAGGGGAAAAAGACTGCCTTGTTCCTCATTCTTCGAGTAGATGTCAGGCTTAGGTCACTAGCTCCTCCTTCCTATGGCATAGGAGAGTGTCTGACCCTATGAGGTCAAACTAGGACTGTCGTAGAGCTTATTCAAATCAGGAGAAAGGTGGTAACAAACACTAAAGTATGTGGTTTCATCTCAAGTCTCCATATAATGAGGGTCTCCTACTTTGGAATGTCACATTTCTCTTAAAATTCCTGTCCTTGGTGTTAAGGATCATTACCTTGCTGAACTCGACCAGCAGAATGCAGGCCTCATTTTTTCTTTCACTTAATGATCTGGGGCATATCTCATGCTTTTATTTATGGCTTTATACTTAAGGAGGCCTGATTGGTTCCACAACATTTTCGATAGCTTTCTTGAGCGATCAATAAGTTACAGTGGTCTCCCAAAGTTCCCTAAGTTTCCCTCTCTATTTACAATCCCCTACTGGGACTTCTACAACTACCAGTGTAACTATCCTATTCTATCCCTATCAAAACGGGTGCCCCCTGGGGCAGAAAGGAAAGGCTGAGACCCCTCAGACCACAGCTAATCCCACGACCGAACCCTGGAGAACGAGTCCCAATTGTCACCTGAAGGCCGTGCCTGAGGTCACCACACAATCTGGGGGAAGAAGAGGGGCTGCAGAGCAGCCGGGTGAGGCTCCGGGGCCAAAGTTCCTTCAGCGAAGTGACCGAACAGGACGCCCGGGGCCCGAGCTGCCGGGCCAACCCCGCCACTGAGGCCCGGAGGGGACTGAGGTCCGAGCAGCGCCCCAGACCCCCGCGTATCCGCAGACTCCGGAGTTGACCGCGAAGTGACCGGGTCAAAAAAGATGGCCGGTTTCGGCCGGTTGCGACCAGTCCCTTCGCAGCGTCCACAGTCCGGCTCAGCACACTCACCATTTCGAGGTTTCCTGGGTCTGAGTCCCTCTTAACGACTCCAAGGACTAGTGCAGAACACAGGGCAACAGAAGGTACGTGAGAGTTAACAGGTTAGTGAACCGGAAAAGATGCGCGATCCCTCTGCTGTAGAAGGTAAGGAAGTCCACGTCTGAGTGGGGGACCGCTCCGCCCACCTGCCTCAGCGGCCGCCTGGTTGGACAGACTCAATACCCCGCCCCCTAATGCCTCCCACCTGTGGGAGGTGGGATGGGACCTGTCCCCGCCTGGCACGTTTGCTTGGTAAAACAACATTTCCTGGCCTGGGATTGTCTCCGTTGTCTTCCGCAGCTCCTCCTGCACTGAGATTCCTGATTCTGTTTCAAGATGCAGCAAGTACAGATAAGAGGATGGCCCAGGTCAGTCCTGCCTGGAACAAGAGGGTCTTATGTCCTCCAGGGGTCAAGGGCTTGGTGTAAGTCTGTGTGGCCAGGCACGGAACTGTGCTTCTTGTTAAGAAACGCAGACACTTAAATGTGAATTCACCATCTATAATAAAGGGGTTGACTCCATTTTCATCTTTCGTCCTTGACAGCGCTGAGCCTTCCACCAATCCCTGCCCCATTCCCACTTATTAGGTACTTAAGCTAAAGAATCCCAGAGCACTTGGCTCTGGTAGGAAATTTGAATCAGTCAGCCTAGCTGGGTGCCAGGACAAATCTCAGTTAAACCACAGGCTATGATGTGTGTTCATTAACTTCTCAGGTGTACGTTTTACACTGGTAGGAAATTTTATAAATAAATAAATTAATTACTAATTTTTATTGGACTATAGCTGATCCACAATGCTGTAGTAGCCTCAGGTGCACAGCAAGGTGAATCAGCCACACGTATACATACACCAACTCTTTTCTTAGATTCCCCTCCTATATAGGCCATGACAGAGGACTGAGTAGAGTTCCCTGCACTACACAGCAGGTCCCCATCAGTTATCCATTCTACATATAGTAGTGTGTACACGTCAATCCCAACCTCTCAATTTATCCCTCCCTATTTATCCCCTGGTAACCATAAGTTTGCTTTCTACATCCTCGACTCTACCTCTGCCCTGCAAACAAGTTCATTTGCACCCCCTTTCTAAACTCCATATATAAGCAACATCACATGACATCCAACCTTCTCTGTCTGATCCACAGCACTAAGCACAACAATCTCCAAGTCCATCCATGTCGCTGCAAATGGCATTATTTTGTTCTTTTGTATGGCTGAGTAATATTCCACTGTATTTATGTACCATATCTTCTTTATCCATTCCTCTGTTGATGGACATTTAGGTTTCTTCCAAGTCCTGGCTATTATAAATGTAAATAATGCTGCAATGAACATTGGGGTGCATGTATCCTTTCAAACTATGGTTTTCTCTGGATATATGCCTAGGAGTGGAATTGCTGGGTCATATGGTAGTTCTATTTTTAGATTTTTAAGGAACTTCCATACTGTTCTCCATAGTGGCTGTATCAATTTACATTCTCACCAACAGTGTAGGGGGTGTTCCCTTCTCTCCACACCCTCTCCAGCATTTACTGTTTGTAGATTTTTTGATGATGGGCATTCTGACCCATGTGAGGTGATACCTCCTCGTAGTTTTAATTTGCATTTCTCTAATAATTAGTGATGTTGAGCATCTTTTCATGTGCTTTTTGGCCAACTGTATGTCTTCTTTGGAGAAATGTCTATTTAGATCTTCCTCCCATTTTTTGATTGAGTTGTTTGTTTTTTTGATATTGAGCTATATGTGCTGTTTGTATATTTGGGAGATTAATCCCTTGTTGGTTGCTTCATTTGCTAATCTTTTCTCCCATTCTGAGGGTTATATTTTGTGTTTGTTTATGGTTTCCTTTGCTGTGCAAAACTTTTAAGTTTAACTAGATCCCATTTGTTTATTTTTGTTTTCATTTTCATTACTCTAGGAGGTGGATCAAAAGAGATCTTGCTGGGATTTATGTCAAAAAGTGTTCTGCCTATGAGTTTTATAGTATCCGGCCTTACCTTTAGGTCTTTAATCCATTTTGAGTTTTTTTTTATGTATGGTGCTAGGGAGTGATCTAATTTCATTCTTTTAGGTAATATGGACAATTAATAATTTTGTGCCTCAAAGGAAACTATCAGGAAAGTGGAAATATCCTTTGGAATTCTTGTGTGATATTGCTTGGAATATAAAATTGTATTGATGGTATGAAAAGAAAAAGGCAATTCCTCAAAAAATTGCAGACTGAGTCACTATCTGATCTAGCAATCCGACTTCTGTCAATTGAATTAGAATTGAAAGCAGTGACTCGAACAGATATGTCGAAACAGATATATATGTTCATTTCACATTATTCATAGTAGCCATAGGTGGAAGCAACTCAAGTGTCCATCAACAGTTGAATAGACAAAAAAAAAAACACGGTGCATACATACATCAGAGTATTATTTAGCTTTAAAAAGAAAGCAAATTTTACTCTTGCTACAACATAGATGAACCTTAGGACATTATGCTAGCTGAAATTAGCCTGACAAAAAAGGTCAAACACTGTATGATTCCATGGGTATGAGGTACCTACAGTAGCTAAATTCCTAGAGACAAAAAGTAGAATGGTTTTCTCCATTGTATATATGTACCACATCTTCTGTATCCATTCACCTGTCGATGGGCTTTTAGGTTGCTTCCATGTCATGGCTATTGTAAACAGCACTTCAGTGACCATTGGGGTGCATGTATCCTTTCAAACCATGGTTTTCTCTGGATATATGCCCAGGAGTGTGATTGCTGGACCATATTGTAGCTATGTTTTTAGTTTTTTAAGGAACCTCCATACATACTGTTTTCCATAACGGGTACAGCAATTTACATTCCCACCAACAACCCCTTTTCTCCCCACCCTCTCCATCATTTATTGTTTTTTTGTTTGTTTTTTTCTCTAATGATGGAATACTCTCAAAAGGGAGAGCTTAAAGCACCTTGTGAATTATTTATTTTATTTATTTATTTTTTCAAATTCTTTTCCCATTTAGGTTGTTACATAATATTGAGCAGAGTTCCCTGTGCTATACAGTAGGTCCTTGTTGTTAATCCATTTTATTTATTTATTTTTCAAATATTTATTTATTTATTTGTGTATGCCCGGTCTTAGTTGCAGCATGTGGGATCTAGTTCCCTGACCAGGGATCAAACCCAGGCTTCTTGCACTGGGAGTGTGGAGTCTTAGCCACTGGACCACCAGGGAAGTCCCTGGTTATCTATTTTAAATATAGTAGTGTACATGTAAATCCCAAACTCCCTAAGTATCCCTCCCCCTCTCCCCTCTGGTAACCATAAGTTTGTTCTCTAAGTTTATGATTCTGTTTCTGTTTTGTAAATAAGTTCATTGTATCTTTTTTTTTTTTTTTTAGATTCCACATATAAGTGATATCATATGATATTTGTCTTTCTCTGACTTAGTTCACTCAGTATGACATCTAGGTCCATCTATGTTGCTACAAATGGCATTATTTCATTCTTTTTAATGGCTGAGTAATATTCCATTGTACATATGTACCACTTCTTTTTATCCATTCATCTGTCATCCATCATTTATTGTCTGTAGACTTTCTGATGGTGGCCATTCTGACTGGTGTGAGGTGATATCTCACTGTAGTTTTGATTTTCATTTCTCTAATAATTAGCAATGTTAAGCATTTTTTCACATGTCTCTTGGCCATCTGTATGTCTTCTTTGGAGAATTGTCTATCTAGGTCTTCTGCCCATTTTTTGATTGGGTTGTTTGTTTTTTTAATATTGAGCTGCATGAGCTCTTTGTAGCTTTTGGAGATTAATTCCTTTTCAGTCACATCATTTGCAAATATTTCCTCCCATTCTGTGGATTGTCTTTTTGTTTTGTTTATGGTTTCTTTGCTGTGCAAAACTCTTTGCTTACTATAGCCCTCCCAACTTCCTTTTCCCTTCTTTAAAAGAATACTCTCCTTGCTGCAGGGGAACTTGCATGCCAAGGTTGCTGACCCCAAATTACAATTCTTTGCTAATCCTGGATAAACACATATTTTGCTGGAAAAATAATTGGCATCCTATTTGTTTATGTCAACATGGGTATAGAGTTTGGTTTTGAAAGATGAAAATAGTTCTGCAGATTGGTTTCCCAATGTCAATGTATTTTGTACTACTGAACTATACACTTAAAATGGTGAAAATGTAAATTTTATGGTATGTGTATATTATAAAAATTAAACTTTTAAGGCAAGACAGTGAATACAACCCTTAGAATGGAAGAAAATTTTGCAAATCATATATTTAAAACAGAACTTATATTGAAAATATCTAGAGACTTCTTATAAGTTAGTTATAAAAAGTCAATTAACTCAATATTAAATGTGACAAGCATCTGAAGTCATATTTTTCCAAGTAAAATATACAAATGATCAAGGGCATATGAAAAGATTCTGGCCATTATTAGTCATCAAGGAGATGCAAATCAAAACCACAATGAGATTCCATGTCACAAAAACTAGGATGGCTAAAATCAAAGAGTGAGGTAATAAGTTTTATCCAGGATAGATGGAGAAATTTGAACTCTCATACAGGTTGGAATGAAGACAAAATAGCGAAGCCACTCTGGAAAAAGTTCTGGGAGTTCCTCAAATATTAAACCTAGAGTTATCATATGGCCCATCAATCCCACTCCTCGGTATATGCCCAAGAATATGAAAATACATATTTGGCCAAAACTTATACATGAATTTTAGAGTAATGTGATTCATAGTAGCCAAAAGGTAGAAACATCTAAAGTTCCATTAACAGATGAATAGGTAAACAATGTGTTTTACCCAATCAATAAAATGTTATTCTGATGTAAAATGAAGGAAATATTGATTTATAATTTTCCCTTGAAAAAAATCATGCTGAGTCAATCAAAAGACCATATACTATAGAATTCTTTTCATATGAAAGACCAGGATGGAAAAAAAGAAAGCAGATTAGTGGTTTTCTAAGGCCGGGGATTGGAGGAGGAAGATGGGAAGATTAGCGGTGACAGCTAAAGAGTAGAAGAGTTTCTTTTTGAAGTGAGAAAATCTTCAAAAATTGACTGTAGTGATAAATGCATGTATCTACAAATATACTAAAAGCATGAAAATGTATACTTAATGGGTGCCTTCCACAGTATGTGCCATACATTTCAATAAAGTTGTTCAAATAAGTCAATGCATGAAGTGTTTTGCAATGTAAGAGTTTTGCAATTAAGTCTCCTGGGAGTATAAGAATTTCCAGGTTAATTAATATCCATCACTTCACTTAGTTATCATTTTGTTTTTTGTTTTTTTTATTTCGCTGTGCTGGGTCTTAGTTGCAGCATGCGGGATCTTCCATCTTCCTTGCAGCATGCGGGCTCTTTTAGTTCCGGCATGCAAACTCTTAGTTGTGGCATGTGGTATCTATTTCCCTGACCAGGGATGGAAGCCGGGCCCCTGCGTTGGGAGTACGG